AGCGCGGATCCGCGGACGACTGAACAGCGTCGGTCAGTGAATGCTGCTGGGGGGGGGGGGTCAACAGAATTCGGGCGGGGGGGAGGCGCATACATAATTAATTAAATAATACACATTAAATATTAATTGTACTAACTAATTCCTGTGTAATGTCACATACAAGTTGTCGCACGCCACACGCTCGTTGCCAGCATCATCTTATCAAAATACACATTAAACCAGAATTAATATACAAACTAAGTATCAACATTATAAAACAATACACTACATTATATATACAACCAATACAATTATACTAACTAATACATCAAACATATAATTATACTACCTAATACGTACAAACATAAATTATATCTAACTAATACATACAAACAGATAATCTATACTAAACTAATACATACAAACAATATAATTTATACTAACTAATCCATGCAAAGCAATATAATTATACTAAACGCGGTTATAAACTACTGTGGTGTTACGTACAGGTATTGGCGACGCGCGCACACGCCTCTGTCTCCAACACTCACGAGGCCGTCATCTACGCAATGCGTTGCGCGCGCTGTCGTGCAACGCTGGCTTCTCCCCGATCGTCGCCCGCCTCCTCTGCGCGCCTCCGCCCCGCCGCGGTGCGCGCCTCCTGACGAGCAGGCCTGCACGACGCGACGGATGGCGCCCCGCGGTGAGCCGGAGCGTGGCTCGTGCTCGCGCTGCTGGCGGCGCCGGGCGGTGCGAGCGGAGGCTGAGCGACGGAGAGCACGGGCGGGCGCGTGGGGAGGGGGGGGGCGGGGGGGCGGGGGGTGGGCGGGCGGGGGGGCGGGGGGGGGGGGGGGGGGGGGGGGGGCGCGGGGGGGGGGGGGGGGGGGGGGGGGTGAACTTCCTGCGGCTGCCTGACGGAACTAGCTGCAGCGTGCGTTACAGGGGGATTACGATACGAATTTGTGTGATTGCAATACGCGTTTGCTTGATTGCGATACGCGTTTGTTTGATTGCGATACGTGTTTCTTTGATTGCGATATGTGTTTGTTTGATTGCGATATGTGTTTGTTTGATTGCGATATGTGTTTGTTTGATGGCACTAAGTTTGTTCACATCCCATCGACAATTACAAATAAATAAACTGCGTTTCGCTGAATGTCATGATTCTCAGATAGACATATCAATTGCAGCAATAAAGTTGTAATACTGTTATTATCCTTATTACACGCAGAAGCTTGTTTTACAATCAACTACATGCTTATTTTCTACCGCATTAAAATTGTGAATTGTCTAGACTGTGTAGGTACAACAAGATCATAGTTCGAAACAAAGACTCGCCTATTTTCTTAATTCTCAATATTCTTAATACCATGTACTATGTATGTGCATTATTATACAATACTATCTGCTGCCGTTATCAGTATATATAGTATATACAATACTATGTACTATGTACATATAGTAGTATAGGATACTATGTAATATGTATAGCAGCATATAGGATACACCACGCGGTAGTGGCGGTGGTTGGTATACAATATTATGTGCTATGTACTAATATACAGTACTATGTATGTATATTAGTATACAATACCTAGTACTATGTACTAATATACAATACTATGTACTATGTAATACATACAGCACAATATATAGGATACACTGTGCGGTGGCTGGTGAGTCATCGTCTAGTCTAGCGTCTGCCGCCATCATCAGCTCCACGTTTCCGTCTGGAATCGTTGCGACAGCTCGAGCGAGCGCACGTAGTCATCCGCACACGCCGCCTCCAGGCCTCCCTCGCTGCGCGCCACGCCCCTCAACGCCTCCGTCACATCCGCCGGCATCTGCTTAGCGTTCCTGTGGGGGGAGGGGGGGACAGAGATCGCTTAAAGGTGAATTAGAGGTCGTTGGGGGCCAGAGGCCGAATGTGTCGCTCGAAAATTACAACAACACGGGTTTGACCGCAAGGTGAAATTCGCGAGGGCATTATTATTATTAATATTATTATTATTATTTAAAAGCATCTCTCCCACCTTACCCTGCTACACAGAACCACGCGGCTCTCCAGTCTTACCCTGCTACGCAGAACCACGTGGCTCTCCAGTCTTACCCTGCTATGCAGAACCACGCGGCTCTCCAATCTTACCCTGCTACGCAGAACCACGCGGCTCTCCAGTCTTACCCTGCTATGCAGAACCACGCGTCTCTCTCGTGTATGAGCTTCCACAGCAGCGGACCGTGACGCTTCATGATATGTTGCACGTACACCTTCTCCTCCTGTAAAATGATGCACACAACTATGTTGCATACAACTGTGTTGCATCCAACTACACAACTGTACGTATGCGTGACACGTACGAGATTGGTTCGCCATAAAGCTACCCTGATTCGTTTTAAACTTGCATCTTGCACTGACCGGTTCACTACGGATCCCACATGCAACCAACTCACTGAGTTTCTGCACCAAACAAACGTGCCCCACGATAAAATTTACGATTTAATTCCAAAATTTTCCCCCCTGTCGTCGATTTCACTTGACATTGCGCCCTATAATAAATTCGTTTAAATTGTCTGGTAATTTTTCAGGATTTAATTTGACACTGTTGCATGACAACCATTTGTTTAATTCAGGAAATTTTCTCCCTATTAACTTCGTTTACTGACAGTAACACCTCCCCCTCCCC